TACACTCAGAATGACTCATTGTTGAAAAACTGTGGACGAATATTTCTACAAGAAAAACGAACGGATGTCAAATAAGAGAAGAACAATAAAACTGACTAAGATGAATTCTTTTGCGTAGGATGTGTATACTACTTAGAGTATAAAATGACTCTAATATAACAGAAAAGATCATACTACTTTAAACCAGCGTGTTTTTTAAAATGGTGAACACCAGGCTAACTAGTAAAAAGCAAACAACAGTAATATTATCATCATCGGTAACCGATAAAAATGTGCACACAACGAATACTCTGGTATTGCCAAATGATAACAATCTAGGTTCGTCACGAATATCATCGAAAGTATGGAACTATTTTACAAGAAGCGACAACGTAAAAGTTCTTCAAGCTGAATGTAATTTATGTCACGTTCGAATAAAAACAAAGAATTGGAACACATCAACATTATTACGCCATCTAACGGGTGTACATAAAATAGATCATTTATCAGACACAGCAGCTATTGATAGAAAATGTCGTAACAAACTACCACTACTTAAACAACGACGATTAAATGCAGTTGCTATTGAAGCAATAATTCAAGATGGACGAACATTTAACGATTTCAACAAACCTGGAATACAACGGTTTTTTCAAGAAGCTCTACCTGGTAAAAATCTTCTGCAATTGTTATTCTCCATAGTAAATTTGTTTATAGATTCATCTTATTTCTCTGTCTTATAAATTATCTCAGAAAAATAAGAGTAGCAACGAATAGCTATTTATGCTCGTTTTTCTCATTTTTTGACACGCCAGAGGTACCATTAGTTTTCCAGAGCATTTAATTCTCGTTCAGAGATAAAGAATAGTCGTTACATCACTTTGCACTGAGCAATACCTCAGAGAAAACAAAATTAGTCACTCGGTTTTGTTTTCTTACGTTTTCATGACCTCTCCCATCTGCACAATCTTATTACATTTCTAAGTATTATCTTCAATCTTTAATATAATTTTCTGATATACGAGATGATGACATTTTAGGCGGTGAGTAGTGAAGCGCAGAAACTACAATATTCCAGGAATTTTTGTTTAGACACAATAAAAATACAAACTAAATCTATCAGAAAACTATCAGACATAAGCGTGTCCATCAAAATAGTTACTAGTTTACTATCTATGATTTGTGGATTACTAAGTTCTCTTAAGAATTCCTGGTAGAGATATTGCATAATTAATGTCATCCGTCGAATGACAACGCCTAATAGACACTAATTATTTTTTTTAGGCTTTATACCCCCTAGTCGACATAATGTTAAACGCCGACTTAAAAGATTACATATTCAAGCAGCTGCTACGCTGATTAAAACTCTGGAAATAATTGATCACATTGCCATAACGCTGGATTTTTGGACCGATAGAAAAATGAGCTCTTATATGGTGTTAACCGGTCATTATATTAATGAACGATTTAAACTGAATTCATGTATATTAAGATTTTCCAAATTTGATCATCGGCATTTCTCCCCCAATATCGATACAGAAATTGAAAAGCAATTAAAAGAATTGCACATTTTTGATAAAATAACTACCATAACTTGCGACGGTGCCAGTAATCTAATCGGAGCATTTAGATATTTTTCACGTGATGACATTCAACGAATACAATGTATGGCGCATAAACTGCATCTCGTAGTGTGTAATGGTTTGGGATTATGGATTAAACGAAAAGTATCGAATTGTGATTTAGATAATGGTGGTGACAACGCAGATGAAATGCTAAGTGACGATGAGATGGAGACCGACGAAGAAAGATTAAGTCAAACATTAGAGAAAATTTCACTTAATGGTACTGATAATCCTTTGGACGATCTGAGTGATGAGGAGGTTAGCTGGAAAACTTTTAGTTTCTACTGCCACTTTTACTATTTACCAGCATACTTTTTCATGGATTTTTGGGTGTAAAGTCTCAACAACTAAGAAATGAATTTTTCAAACTTTTAATAAATCGTTAACAGACAAAATTAAGAAGTTGCTAAAAATGTCGAATGATTTCGTTGATTTTGAGGAGCAATCTAGTCTTTCAAAGACTGATGAGCTATATCATCTCAGCTCGCTTTTTTCATCGGATCAGATTTTGACTACAAACTGGTAAAAATCGCACGTCTCCGATCACCTTTCTTCAAAACAGTCATCTACTGTTTTGAAATGTATAGTAGCTTACAGAACCGCCTAACAGTGACAGAAATCTAATTTTAGGATGAATTCCACAGTCAAAAAACAGAAAAAGACAACGAAACTTTGGGTTCCGAAGCAATAACAGTAAAAGACTTAAACTATGGACAGTTTTACTTGAGAATTCGTCCTACTCGCTCATAAAAGAAAATATTTTCATTTTAGTTGTACGCATATTTTGACCTTTTGGGTTTTTATTCAATGACAAATTTGGAAAGAACGGCTGTTGAACAAATCATCAAAGAAATTTATCAGAACAAGATTGGAAATACTCAATATCAACAACAATTGCCACAAGGATCTTCAGCTCTAAACAGAAAACCACGGATTACTTTGACGAATGAAAAAACAGAGCTTCCATTGACACCAATGAATTACTTTCTAAAATTAGTTGGAAAAGATTTATTTAGAAATACCAAAACAAAATCAAACACGCTGGAGGAGGAAATGAAAAGTTATCGGACAACGGCAGTGAGAACCGCACTAGAAATAATGTCGAATAATAAAACCGACAAAAATCCTTTATTATTTTGGCAAAAAAATGTCTTAACAATGCCACTTTTGGCGAAAATGTCAAAGTTATATTTGGCTACACCTGGGACAAGTGTGAGTTCAGAGTCGGCCTTCAGTCTATCTGCCTATTACGGAAGAAAAGAACGTTCTCGACTTCAATCAGAAACATTGGCATTATCAGTGTTCTTAAAGGATAAACTTCAACAACAAGAAGACACAACGAATTAAACAGCTTTTATCTTTTTTTGCTACACTCGCTATATGTTTTTATATTATACTTGTTTTAGTAAAGGCATACGAGGAACATCAGTTGATTTTGGCTGTCCTTAAGAAAGCTCAAATTTTAGAGGGCAATTTATTAGATTCTCATTAAAGAGCGGATAAATAACGAAAATTAGTTTTTCTCTTGGTGGAAAGAGTAGTATATAACTTTTTAGTGAAGCGAAGCAGTATATCTCCGCACAAGATTCGTCGTAAAGCATCCTCGATCACGCAAATTTAAATCTTCTGTCAACATTCATAGACGAAAAATAACACAGAAACGCCAAAAATAAGAAACTAAATTGACAAAATATGACTTCTTTCTTCGATATCCTGAAAACATTTCTTCCAAGTCCGAGCCAAGCCCAAGCTTTACCCAAGCCTGACTTTCCAAGCCCAAGCCAAGCCCAAGCCTACCAAGCCCAAGCCACCACCCAAGCTCGGGCTTGTAACATCCCTAGTATACAGCCGACCTCTATTTACACGAGGATTTATCACTTACGTCCATAGTGCTGCCATAACTACTTATTAGTTTTTGTTTTTCCCTCAATCGATGTGCATCATATATGAAAGACTGTCAAAGTTTACTTTTGCACTTTTGTGCAAAAGTGAAATTTGTTCGGTTCTGTCTTGTATGTGTACATGGACTGTCTTTGTGTATTACAGTCTGCTGCATATTCAAAAATGATGAGTAGTATTTCTA